CACTAACGTGGTAAGACACCTACAGCAAGGGGACTTCTTGAAGGATACCCGTAAGGTGTAGACGAACTATAACGCGGAGCTACGTTACTTGATGAGCGCTTTATCTTGTCTACTCTCATCTTGAGGATCTCTCTCTTCCCTGCCACGTGAAACCCCCGTAACGTTCATCGACGAGTTTGAGCTCTTTTTTTGGAAAAATATAATAGGCAATTGCATTAATGAAGAGTTTTCTCAAAAATAACCAAGTGACAGAACCTATAACACACTTGAGCAAATTTGTCTTTCAGAGCGTCTCAACTGTGAAGATAGCAGAATACAAGGAGCTTTTCGACTGTCTTTGGATTTATGCACCCAAGAAGCTGAACATTAGTGCGACTAGAAATGAATTGAGAACTGCACTGGAAGGCATTCCCGATTGGTGGTTTCTCTCTATTCAAATGGTGAGCTCAGATTCTATACTACCTCTCAGTTCGTCTTTCTTTACTGCTTTCCTTATCAGTTTATCTACACGCCATCTTTTTTACAATTTTGCTTCATTCGGGCAAATAGCTGAAGTTGTAAATTAATTCCGGATTATACGGATCAAGGAGAATGTATCAATTGATCAAAGTAAATCAAATTGCATAAAAATGCGTGAGTAGAATCAACACCTAAAGATTATTATGATTTGATAATTATTTGTGTAATCCTTTGTACCTACAACTTCAAGCATCAACAGATCATCAATTTCTGAATTCTTATGCGTCCCAAATAGGAAAGTCATTTTAAAGACGGAATTCACGAATGGAATTATCAGAATTGAGGTAGAGTTGGTCTGGTGCAAGGATGAGAAAAATCATAAGGGACGACCTAGCAGGTGAAATATGGGAACTCTTCTTTGCCCGTAGATCTCCGCGACTCTGATCTGTGCTGCCCTCTTGAGCGCTAACGCTCTCATTGCAATTCGCAGCAAAGGATATGCCCCCGGCGACTAGCATGGCCCTCCCCGCGGCGCTATCGGCGCGGCACGCCCACCGACTGGCTAACCACTCGCCGCAGGTCTCTAGCCGTTTAGCAGAGAGAGCGTTAGCGTTGAAGAGGGCAGCACCGATGAGAGTCGCATCAATGCGGAAATCAACGGGCAAGGAAGGGTCCCATTTCTCGGGTTCTGGGCCTTTTTCGTGTTTTCCTTCATCTCGGCACCACTGACCACCTCTACCTTAATTCCAGTGAACTGCCTTCTAATCGTAAACTCCGTGTTCAATATTCGCTTCATAAATTTATTACATAAATTTCTTCTAACCATGGCGAGGAATTCGGTGTTTCTTGTTTTTTATTTGTTCAATTTTTCATTTTTATGGAAAACAAAATTTCTGAAAAGAATTCGTTTTCAGCTCGGTATCTATGAAAGTGCTTGTGACATTGACGCGCTGTCTTTGGTGTCAAGAGCTCCCCACTGTGCTTCCCTCCGTATCGGTGAGTGTTTCGTCCTCAAATCTCGAAGACACAAGTCGCTCTCTGTCCCCTGCTAATTCGGTTGATTTTCAGATCCATGCTTCACCATCGACAGCGTGACGTCACTGTTGGACTGCATGAGGCAGATTCATGAATTGAAGTACATACGTTCGTTACACAAGGAATCGTTACGATAAGTGATGATCCGATAATTTTTTGTAGAAGAATAGTAGGTGGACAGAGTAGGCAAACCTTCGTAGAATCTAACAAAGGTAGTCTACGGATTTTTGGGTTCCCATGCACTGATCTATTTGAAGGCACATCACCGATCACCTGAATGCGGTTATTGCGCTCCAAAGTGTGGGTGGAAGTGTGAAGGGAGAGGGGAGGGAATTGCTGAAATGTTCAAATTCGCTCCTTTTATCTAAAGCTATGGAAGTTTTTGATTCACATTGGCCGTATGGGTGAAATACCATAGGGGACGAGTGAGACATAAACAACAACACATTTGCAACGGCGTGCATGCATAAATAGATGTGTGGGGTGTGCATGAGCGAGAGCTATAAACCTCTAGCACAGTTGTACCGCGTTTAAAATAACGGAAATAACACTGGGAACTGAGGTATCCCCTCCACCAAACAACTAAGTAGATGGATTTGCTCCTTATCAGAGCCGTATTTCATCCATACCGTCTATAGTTGACATTTGTCCGAAGAGCATCCCTGCACCCCCACCTAAAGTATGAAGACGCTCAGCTATAGCGTCAATCGAGTTTGTAAGGAAGCTGCCAAACAGCGGAGTTTCGGTGTTTTGTAAAATTCACGAGGAGTAAACGATGCCTGGGATGGAAAATGCCGACACTTCACAGCAACAGCGCACTATGACAGTGCGGGTCGGTCTAAAGCCAGGGAGAAAAAGTGAAAGAGGGGTAGCATTCGCCGTTGGTTACTTCCTTGTTGAGATGCGCCGTTCATTATATCTCCGTTCAGAGTCGTAGTGGCATTTGCATGCGATCAGGCTGAAATGGATAGTGAAGAGAAGCTTCATGCACATCCACCACTTCTACCTTCCCGGTACTAGTTGACCGATATCGGATAGATGAAAGGTACCACCTCCGCCCTTTGGAGAACTGAGGGTCACTAAAGGAAGCGATTACGGTAAAGAGGAAGCGCTTTGAAGAGACATATGCGCCACACGACGCAGTTGATTGGCCGTCGAGCGCTTCTTGCAGAGCAAGAATTTGAAAGCACTCTGCTCCAAAAGCTGTTCCGCCTGCCGGTGGTTGGTGATTTGGACGAGCTG